CTTTATTAATTGTTTTATATTTCGATCTATATAGCTTCTTGGCACCTATAGGTAAAATTTTGGAGTTACAAACGATTATTTTCAAAGAATATTTTGTGTTACTTGAGACTTATTTACAACTATAGTATGACATGATTGACTTCAATATTTATCGCTAGGATGATAAAAACAATAAACAATGGCCTTATCTTAAATGTTGGGGCTATTAAGTGAATCTTTTTTTATTTTTGTTTTGGTTCGACACTGTTAATAGTGGCCACAAACTCTGTTGACTGTTCATTAACAGCATTTTGTCTTGACTGCCTCAGTATAAGTTTGTTTAGGTTAGCCTACTTTGCTCCATTAATTACTCTCTATCATTCCTTACATCTGATGTGCTTATTAATTTCTATAACATATGCATCTAAAGTTATTTCTCACATTATCCTCAGTTGAAGCTGTACGTAACTTCTTATGAATTATTGTGATCCTATATTAAAATAAGTCTCTTGCTTTTGTTTCTAATCAGTCAAGAGAGAACTATTTCTCTCTGATACAGCACAAGATATGTGAAATCCAAAATGAGAACTGTGCATTCTATCTACCTTAGCAACTATCTTTTAAGTTTTCTTTAGTATGTTGAATTTTGAGGAAGATGGGAAGAGATTTTCATCCATCTTTTTGGTTGGGTCAGAGTAGCTATCTTCTTGAACTAGTTTTAACTAGCCGATGTAATTTTCTGTATTTGCGACTTTTTTGTAGTACATTAAATTGGTCAGGTTACATTATTTTAAAGCAATTACAGATCACTTTACTTGTCTTTGTTGGAATTTGAAACATGAGAAAGCAATTTTGGTGCAACAGAATTAGCGGTATGTTTTTTGTTGTTGTAGTTGTTATATCTGACAGCATGTCCATGGTTTAGAACTTTATACTCTTCAACTCATGTTAATGAATTTGTTTTGTTCTTGCCTGTGAACCAATATTATCTAATATTTTCTATTTTCAGTGCACAGAGGCTACATGATCTAGGTGCTGAGTCAAAGCTACTTCCTCTTTGGCAACAGGTTTCATTTTCTTACCTTACTGAACATGACTACTTTCCTTCCACACTGTAAAAATAGAATGTCCTCTGTCATTCAAGGTTTTAGTTTACCAAAGAGTTCTAGCTGAATTATTGCAAGTGATCATAGTTAGCCAGGAAACCTTTAAAACCATGCACATAAGATTCATTCAATCTTGTAGTTAACATGCAGACAACTTCACTGTTTGGATACATCTGTTTGCAACTTTCTATAGTGTTCACTGTTTGGATACCTCTGTTTGCAACTTTCTATACTCTTATGCGTTATTTTATGGCATGTTTGAATGCAATATAGTTTTTAACAGCTAGAAAACCATGTTTGATAGGTGGTGAACCCATTGTTGACCTGCAGGTGTACAATATTCGGGTCCATATATTATGCATTTATGCTTAAGATCTTTGAATGTGATTATTCAAATATAAGAACCGAATAAGCTGAGGTTCATTATTCCTGTTGGCAAGTGCAATTACTAGTTTCATTTCTACACTTTTTTGAGAGTATACCAGTGCCCAATGCAAACAAATTCAAAATAGCAGCAAATAACCCGAAGGGAGTTGTGTTATACATAGAGAGGATATACACATCAAGCACACTCTTGCTCTTAGAAGGTTTATTCTTAATCATTTTTTATTTTTGCTTCTGCCAATTCTTGCTCATAGAAGGTTTACTCTTAATTATCTTTTTAAAAAATCATGAAAAAAAAACTTACTTTGCAAGATGTACTAAGATGTTTTAAAAATTAAAATTTGATAACTCACCACCTTGAATACCCGCTTTTTGCAGGCCGATCCTAGATTCCTTTGGAATAACTACTTGTTGGAAGCATTAATAGAGAGCAAAGTAAGACATGTTTCAGAGCATTTAGTTCTCAAATCATTCAGCTTATCCTCTGCAGTTTTATTATTTTATAATTTTAATACCTGATTATCTCTGACATTCATGGTGCAGGTGGATCCATATTTGCTTCCTATCATCCAAGGAAGTATCCTCATATTGTTAGGCTATATTTCTGAGCGTTGATGCTACATGCTAGGCCAAAACCATTATATATATGGTATATGATTAATATATATATTATATATATAATATTATTATATATATATATATATATATATATATATATATATATATATATATATATATATATATATATATGAGAAAATATGCGGTATGCTTTTATGGCTTCCAAGCACAAATTTTGTGGCTTGGTAGTGATGTGTCACATCCCCATCCACTCATTACCCATATGAATGTGGTCCACATTTGAATGAGTGAGGAGGATTTGACACCTCACTACCAAGCATACCCATATTTCTCTCTCTCTCTCTCTATATATATATATAGTTATATATATATATAGTAAAGCTCCTATAAACTTAAGTGGATAAGAGCCTCCGTCCACCAACTTTTTATCATTGATTTTGCATTGAGATTTGTGCTAGCATTTGATACAAATGAAGGCACAAATCTCAAAGATAGCATTGATGTGTAGCACAAATCTCAAAACATAATGAAGGGATAAAAAGTTTAGTGGACAAGTGCTCCTATCCACGTAAGTTTATAGGAGCTTTACTCTCTCTCTCTCTCTCTCTCTATTATATATATATATATATATATATATATATATATATATAGTATATATATATATATATATATATATACTATATATAATTGGTTTTTTCTTAGCTCATACCTTAACTTCATAACAGGTTATCAAAATTTTCAAGCTGCAATTGGAACAAGTATTGTTGATGTTACGCTAATTGCACGTAGATGCACACGGAGGACAGGTTACTGTTTCTTCCACTGTTTATTGTTTGCTCCAACAAGGGATTTATAGTTCAGTTAGACATGTGATTCTCTGAGAGTTTGTGCATCATGATTTCACTGAAATTTGAAGTTTAAAGTCATTTAGCACTGTTAATGTAGATTAGAAAATTTTAAATATAATTAGTTGAATTCACAAGTGAAAATTCTTGTATTAAAGGTACTCGAATGTGGAGAAGGGGTGCTGACTCAGATGGGTATGTTGCAAACTTTGTTGAATCCGAGCAAATACTGCAAGCAAATGGGTATACAGCTTCTTTTGTACAAGTAAGTTCTCTTAAGTCTCTGTTGACTTTTCCTTTGATGTCAAGAATAGGAGGACTTCTGGGTACTGTGGGTGTCCTTAGAGCTAAGTTACCCGGTACTTTATCTGGGCTCCCATATCCATGTCCGATACTTACCCAATACCCTAGTCCGACTCCAACACTCCTTGGACAGTTTAACTTTTCTAATGTTGATTTTAGGTGGCATTGTTCTGATATTAATTTGCTTACTGTTAACTTCTAGAGATTGTTCAATTGAATAAATAATGTAAGAGAATAACTATTTGTATCATTTAAGTTACGAGGGAAGTGCATAATTCTCATGATTTGATTATTTTCAGTAACCATTTTTTTCTGTGCTGCGGTGGTCACTTCAGATTGTTTCAGCAATGCAGAGTCTGAATCTCTTTTTTCAAGTTCCTAAATACTGACTATTCTTGTCTACGATTTCTTCTTTTCTCCTTAATAATATTCCATGATCAGTAGTCCTCTGAGGATACTCATCTATTCTATTGATACTTTTGTAGGTCCGAGGGTCTATACCATTTTTATGGCAGCAGATTGTTGATCTAACATACAAGCCCAGCTTTGAGATTGTTAGACCTGAGGAAGCGGTGCGATTTGTTATTGATTCATGTTTAACTCATTTCAGATAACCACCACTCCATGTAGAATGGTTTATAAATTATTACACCTATGTTTTCCATGAAGCAGATGTATAATTTATGTGCTCTATTTCTATTCTTTTCTTTTTCTTCTGATTTTGCAGCCTAGAGTCGTGGAACGACACTTTATGGATCTAGGGAAAAGATATGGATCTGTCGTTGCAGTTGACCTCGTCAATAAGGTACTGTCTTGGATCAGTGTCATCTAAATAATTGTTGGTTAGGCGTTTTTATAATCCTATAGAATTTTGAATTTGACCTCAATTCTGAGCTTTCTTTTTCTTTGTAAGTTTGAACTAAGATAAGCCAGCTCTGCAGACTGTCAACTATGTGCACGCGCAATCTTTCCATTAAATTTATGTTCAAATAAAGATTTGAATACAATTATGGTTTAGAATTTCCAATCTAGATGGGCGGGATTTCTTTCTTGAAACTAGTTAATGTGGTTTGACAATTTTTATAATTTATTTTAGTCATATTAATGTTGGCATAGTTGTCTTGAAATTTTGTTGCCTCCTAATAAGGTATAGGAAGGACTTGGATTAAACCATTTAGTAGCATGACATAGCAGTGAAATGTTTTGATATTATAAGTAACCACTTTCACTTTCTTTTATTTTCGGGTTTTTTCTTAGAAATCACCTTAAAAATAGGGTAATTATACGTAAACCACTTTTTATTTTTAACTTATATATAAACCACCTTTAAAGTGGGTTTTTGTCGCTATCAACCACTTCCCGGTTAAATTTTCACTAAAAACCAAAAATAAGTTTAAAAATTCAAGTTCAAGGTATGTGAGTTGTATCTAACAAGACCTAAATACTAAAAAAATGAGTCACGTACATTGAATGCCAGTATTTTAAGGATAAGTTTAGGTTTTAAGTGAAGAATTTGATTGGGAGCTGGTTAATTGCAATAAAAACCGACTTTAAAGGTGGCTTATGTATAAATTAAAAATGAAGGTGGTTTCCGTATAATTACCCTATTTTTAAGTTGGTTTCTAGGGGAAAACCTTTATTTTATGTGTGGAGGCAATGGCATATAAGCTTGTGATCACCTTAATGAGGAGAAAAAAAATATAATTTTCTAGAACTCCAGAATAATTCATCATGGAAAATTAAGTAGCCTCGTTAGAATTATACAACAGGGGAATTTTCGTTAAAGTGGTGCTATATAATGCTCTTGGAAGTTATGGATTCTGCAGAGGTTTCTGGATGACATGAATGAAAAATACTAGGTGTCTTGATGACTAAACAAATTGAACTACAACTAATGAATTTGCACAGGTTTTGGAGATGTAAACTTAGGTTAGCTGGCACTGGAGAGTTTCACAGCTAGAGTTTCTGTTATTTAACAGGGTTTTATGAATAACTAACAAAACATATAATTTTGTAATATGCAGCACTTGAGATTTTTCAAGATAGGTTTAGAAGCCATGGTGTCTGTACTATGTTATATGGGCTCAAGTGCATTGGTAAAATATGGAGATTTTGATACACATTCTCAAAACTGTGTGACGTGGGAAGTTTTCACTTTTCAGAACTAGCGGGGTGAAATCCATTTTTCTAGAAGTGTAATGTTGTGAAATTTGTCAAAGTGGACTGGTCTCAAATGATGTGTCAACATGACCTAATAAGGTCATGAGGGTAATGATTGAGAACTCAATTCCTGTCCCAGCGGTAGTGTTTTGGGACATTTTGTAGGAGCTGCTCTTTCCACATAGATTGGTTTGGCAAGGTTGGAGCCATACACTACAACAGAAAAGCTAATCCGCGAGGAACAATTTTGTCGTTAAAAGTTGAGATTTCCTCGTCGTAGTGTGTTGGCGAGGAAAAAACTTTGGTCACCATTTCCTCGCGATAGGGTGGTCAAGAAAAGTTTCTGCGAGGAATATTATAATTTCTCACGAAATCATTTTTGCGATGAATACATTCTTTTCTCGTTGTTACTCTTTAGCCTCGATATTTTTCCTCTCCTAATCTCATACCTTTTTCATCGCTAAACTACAGATTCCTCGCCAATGATACGTGAATAATATTTAATTTATATATAATAAAAGTTCTAAAAAAAACTATTTTTGTCGTTGTAAGTATCTTTCAGCGAGGAAACTGTTCCTCACCAAAGGTAAATCTTTAACGAGGAAATTGATTTTCTTCATTATATGTATCTTTTTCTCGTGGAAACAGTTCCTCAGTAAAGGGACTCAAAGACAAGGACATTTAAATTTGTCGTTGTAGGTTGTACCTCATATTTCTCGCCAAAGAAATTCAATTACGAGGAAATTTACATTTGTCGATATAGGTTATATGGTCTATAATGAGGAAAATTACTTTTGCCGTTCTAGGTTGTTTCACTATAGCGAGAAAATATGTTTTTGTCGACGTAAGCAATATACTCTATAATGAGGAAATTTTACTTTCATCGACCTAAATATATAGCGAGAAAACTTATAATGAGAAAATTTTATTTCATCAATAATAATGCTATTACGAGAAAAACGCTCAAAATATAAATAATTGTCATCAATTGTCACCACAGTACATCAAAACAATTAAAATAAATAAAACAAGCAAGTTTCTACCATAAGTAATAATGCTAGCCTAAAAAAATAACAAATGCAACAGGATGAAAGAAATATTTCTCCAAGTTTAAGTTCACTAAGAATACTAAGCTGATGGATGTTGCCTGGAAAAATTAGTCATAAACTCCTCAAACTTTTTGGCTTGCTCCTCCAATCTTTGGATTGCCTCATTTCGCGCATCGATCTTTTTGTTGTTGAGTTCCTACAACTTGTTGGGTCTCTTGAAGCTGTTCTTACAACTCTTTATTCTTTTAGACATTTCATTCATCAAAGAACGAGAGAACCTTAATGGTGATGGTCTAGGACCAAAACCACAGCCCTTAATGTAGCCTGATTTGACTGAAAACTTTTGCACAAATTTCCTCCTCTGTCATTGTTCGAGTTCCATCAGGTTGAGCGGTATCTGCTCGCATCTTTATCATTTGATCCTATAAATAAAAAAATATATCCAGTTTAATCATATGCAACTTCTCAATTACAACCTAATCAATATAATCCTCTTTAGAACAGTAATATCAGCTTCACCTATATTCTTAAAATATTATAAAACCATGTATCATTGACACGTTACTTACCCATTTTTCTTTGCTCCCAAGTCCCATCATTTTTTTGTGCTTCTATACTCTGTTTCAAAACGATCAATTGAACCTTGCATCTCTCCGGTCTGTGCTGCCTATTGCATTCAAACAAATTTTCTTTTTCAGCATATATATATGTACACAATTAAGTTACAAATTTATAAGCAAAACTAAAAAGTATCTTACAATTTGCTTTTGGTGTGACATAAATGATTTTGACTCAGCTTTGTGGTGATATGTCAACTTTGACCTATTAAGAACATTCTTCTCTGAGCGAATCTAAAATTATTAAGACATACAATTAGAAAGAGGTAAATGAAAAAAGAAAAAATGTAATGCGTGGAGAAAAATAAAAAAAGATATTATACCTTAAACTTTTCACTAGAAAAATGAGTGCAAAGAAACTCACATTCTTCCTGAGTCTTGACAGCTTCATGTTATGATTACATATCTCAGGACCCAAGGGAGCGACATGTCAAATTCAAACTTATTCTGCACAGGTATAATTTCATGTCAAACTAAATATAACAAATCAAAACAACCAATATAATGCCTATAGCAAAACAAATCACTAACTTGGGTTCTTTTGATCAAGTTCTCCACATCTGCTTTTTCAATCTTCTTCCATTTTTCTACATTCAGTGGGACGTAGTTTTGAATTGTGTAACCAATTTTATTTGCAAACATCTCAGCATAAGGGCCCGTAGGCCTGCCATTTTCTTCAGTCAAAGTCACAGGTATTTTAGAATTCAATTGGGAGAACACCTTATCTGCATTCACTCCTCTTGTCTTCCCTCGCACCTTTTTGGTTGTACCTGATACGGGGTGTATCTTCTCTTCGGAACTTAGTGATCCTCATGGGAGCTTGAGGATAGATGATTCTCATGCTAGCATGAGAATAGAGGTGTCAAACAGTATAAGGGAACACAGGAGAAAGCGTGGAACGAGACGACGAACAGAAGAATCGAAGTATCCAGTTTTCAGCCTGTGAGTCGACTCATGACTGTCATGAGCCGACTCATCGCTGGTTAAGTTTTTTCCAGTTTCTGTCGAGTCGACTCATCTCAGTCAAGGTTACTGATAGCGGATCACGGCGCGTCGCGGCGAGGTACCGCTAAGGCTATATCGGGCTATTGCGGCGAAATCGCGGCAAATAGCGCACAGTCAAATAGCGATCAAATTTAAATATATTCAAATATCCTAAATAATAAGAAAATTCATAAAAAAAATCTAAAAATTCAATTAGTTGTAAATTTCTTGTATTATCAATAAATAACAATTAATAAGCTTGTTGTATGAATGAAACTATGAAGAAATTCAAGAAATATAGCATCATAATATGTGTGATAGCGGGTTTAGCCGCTTTTAACCGCGAAAATCCGCTTTTAACCGCGAAAATCCGTTTTTAACCGTTAACCCGCTAAAATCCGCTTTTACGCGCTATTCGAATGAATAGCGGATTTTCCCGCTTAAGCTAGCCGCGAAACCCCTACGCGTAGCGCTGAAGGGCCGCGACCGCTATTCGCGCTGCTATAGCCCCGCTATTGGCCGCTATTTACAACACTGATCTCAGTCATGAGTCGACTCATCGAGGGTTTCCTGATTCGTTTGGGATTCTGTTCACACGAATTCCTGTTGGTTTTGGGTCTGATTATTTACCAAATTGTCATCCACATTTGTACACCTATATAAGGGATTGTTTTAGGGTTTCTAAACAATCAGAGAGTTAAATCAAGAGAGATTAACTTGTAATTGAGATTTGGAGAGCTTGTTCTTCAATTCTAGAGTAAGATTGTGAGAGATTGTAAATTGCATACTCATAATCTAGAGAAGGTATTTTCCTTCGCCCCAAAATCTGAGTTATTCTTGTATTCTTATTATTTTCTCCTCAACCCACCTTTGATAATTTCGCGATCAAAGGTGCTCGCACGACAACTCGTATCAGTACCTTTGACATAATTTTTATTAAGAACATAACACATACGTATGTTTAATTCTCAAAATATATGTATATAATGTTTTGTATACCTGAAGGAGGCTCCTGATTAATATCTGACATCACATTATCATCTTGCTCTTCAGCTATGGTGTTTACCACTGGCTGATCAGTGTAAATCACAGATACCCACTTTGTACCTCGTAAATCAAGAAGTGTTAGTGCTTTTAAATAATTTGAGACTTAATAAGTGCTACTAAAAGTATAGATGGGAGGGATTATTACCCGCAATTTGCTCAATCATCAAATAAATCCATCAAATAATCTGCCAGTAGTACAAAACACAGAATCTTTAACATTACCCAAAAATCATCAGTTTCATTCATTTCAAACTAATTGATTGAAAATAACTTCAAAATGAAGCAGCATTAAATAGCAAGTGCCAGCAGAAACAATGTTACCTGTCAACATCCTTTTCACTATATAAGCACTTCCTGCTGCATGGATGCTTACCAGTTTTCAATACTAGAACTGATCAGACCACAAAAAAGATAATAACAAAAAACGGCCAGACCATAAGCAAACACGCTGAGGTACTACTCTATCTACGTCCGCGTTTTGTTGCCTTTAGCGCTTCCTTCGCGGAGCCAGTTTTGAGGGATCGTTTCTTCGAAACTGCCTGAATTTCCTCCTTAGTTCCACTCGATCCTTTAGTCTTGGAAAGTGCAGCGGCACAATCTGCAAGTTTGTCGGTTTCAGGTGATTCTCCCTCAATCGCCTTTATAATGCGTACCTGACGTGATGTAAGAAAGGAATATATTAGGGTATGGAACATCATTAATGACATACAACTACTTACACAAACGACTGACTGAAGTTCGACCGGGGAAGTTACTAATGTCTTGTGTGTCCGTTGCAAACGGTGAGCTAACGTTTGATACATTTGAACTCGGGTTTATCTATGACTCAGGTAATCCTTCTATGAATCAAGAAACATTCAGAGTTCAAAAGATGTTTGTTATGAGAAAGCAAAAGCTCGGATAAAGGGTATTGAAGATGTCCTGAGATTTGTGAAGGTCATTATGATGGATGATCACTATAATATTACTACATGATCAAATTGATTTTGGAGATCCACCAGCCATCTCATCAAGGGGAAAAAGAGATCTTTACTATGAACATCCATAAGGTGGTCAAAATAAGTTTATTTCAGTAGAATAAAGGCAACATGTTGAGCTCCATGCAAAGTGATTAAAACATATACAACTATTTGAGGAAAACACACGACCTGGGATTGAAACATCACATATGACAATTGATATGAACTTATGATCACCATGTACATCAGTTATATGTACGGAGGCCCATGAATTCTGCTAATTGTCATTACTGGACTAGATTTCTCTCCCTAAATTTCAATATTTCAATACATTGTCGTTTCATAGTACTTATGGATAGTTTTAGAACCAAAATACATAACTATAGACTATCAATACAATTAATCTACAGGAACAAAAAGTCAAAACAAAATCAAGTAACCCGTGAACAAAAGAATCTGCACTACGAAAAATAACTATTTGATGCAAACGACTAAAATCATAACGGAAGGTTGCACATCATGGAGAGTAAGGTTTACCATAGTAGGCACTAGGCACTTAAAAAAAGTGAAATTCAATATTACCTTAAATCTTGTCGGCTCGCTTAGTTCAAATATTAAGACATCCCCATCTTCTAAATTATGATCTATTGCAAAGCCTCTCCATCCACCACTAAGACCATTCTTCCTCCCAAGGTACAGAACATCATGTTCCTTACCCTTCTTATCTTCTAGAATCACTCTCAGCTCATTAGGAGAAAAGTTTTCTTTGCAAAACTTTGTCGGAAGTCCCTTAATGATAATAAAATACAAACACTTCAGGAACAAGTGACATTGATTTCACTTGATAGCTCGAGACTCAATTTAGTGGTAGGAGTGATTTTTAACTTACAAGCCAAAAACCACCAGATACATGTGATCGAACCATAGGCTTAATGAATGAAGGATAGTGGGATGTTAAATCTCTTTGAAGTTCCTCTGCTCTCTTTAATGCAGCAATCTTTTGATCTTCAGAAAATAAAAACTTAGGAACACAAAGCTCACCTTTACCCAGGTCATCCTCCAGCTCATGAACTACAAATGCTCTTCCAATGACTGCATTAGGGCCAGCCAATGAAATCTAAATACACATGAAGAATTGTGAATAGGAACAAAAGAAAATCAGCAAGATTAAAACATAAATCAAGATAGCGTAATATCCGTCATAAAAAATTATAACATAAATCTTCCTACATTTGTTGGCCACTGTTAACATGAAATACCATCTGGACAGCACATGATTCCAACATTACACTTTCTGCATATTCCTCATATCCATGTCCTGCAGTTACTATATTTTCATCGTGCCACATATGCATCAAACTTAACATTTCTTCAAACAAACAATAAAGATATGCTCAACACTGTAATTCAACTATTTGTAAAATTATCTGCAGTGCGACACATCTATCAGCGTGTTGATGTTATGTAACTTCCTTCTCTAGAATAGATTCTTTTTCCCTAATTGGCTAATTTAACATGAAAAAAAATGCAAAAAATTGCATTTCGAGATAATGATTCCATAAGCAGCAATAAGAAAAAAAAAACTTTTGATCGCTCGTTAATACTATGTGGTACACTAGTTCAATCCGTGAAATGCGATAAATCATTGATCAAAATCCAAACTTTGAGCAACGAAAATCCAAAGGCAAGGGGAGCAAATAACCATCGTCTTCTTGAAGGAGAGTGACGACGCCCTCGACCTCGGAGTTCCCCTTGAGTACGGCAACGGCCTTCTTGGAGGTTTGTATTTTTTTAAGATCAACGTAGACGAAAATTTCTGTCTAGCTTGCAACCTAGACGGAAATTTCTGTATATGTTGAGTTTTTTTTAATTTTAAAAAAAATTATTCCGTTTAGATTGGTATTCTAGATAGAAATTTCTGTCTAGAATGACTCAAACTAGACGGAACAATTTAGACGAAAAATTTTCGTCTAGTTTTCCTCAATCTGGACGAAATTTTTTTCCGTCTAGGTTGTTCCGTCTAGTTTGGTTGTTTTTCTACTAGTGTAACAAAATTTGTTTTCTAAAGTCTGAAATCAATGTATATTCAAAAAATTGCAAATAGTTTATAAACACACACACATACGATTCTCCATTGATATCGAAGCATGATCACCATATACCTTAAACATTATGCCAAATAGGAATAAGAGATTTCATTGTACGTTTAGTTTAATCTATTTTTAGAAGTCAATATTATCTATTAACATAATCTAATTTCAGAAGTTTAAAATAAATGTATATTTAAAAATCGTAAATTGTTTAAATCTTATCAAATTTGTGAGCAATCCTTTAGCATTGGGATCCCTTTGAACCTGAATAAATATTAATTGGTTGTTAATCTTCATGTGAATTGTGCAAAAACCTACAAAAAGGAACCATCAACCAGACAAACCAAATCCTTATTGCTATCCATACTAGAGATTTACCACGTGCTAGACATTTATTCAAAAAAAATCTAAATTGGCCCACGATTGTTGACTTGTATATGGATATTTGTTAGGCCATTGATATTAGAGGCCCGCTCTTTTCTTTAAGTACCCGCCTACTTTTTACCCAAATTCCCACCAAAATTTTCGCCAACGAATAATGAGGATATTATTATTTCCTCGGTGATTGGTTTTTTAACAAGGAAATGATTTCTCGCAAAACAAAATCTTTTAGTGAGGAAGCCTTAAATTTGTCGCCATTGAATTTGGCGGATTTACACATTTTTCCGCCAAACTAATAATGAGGAAACTATTATTTCCTCGCTAATTGATTCTTTTAACGAGGAAAGGGTTCCTCGTAAAACAAAAAAAAATAGTGAGGAAACCTTTAATTTGTCGTCAATGAATCTGACGGGTGTTGCACATTTTTTCGCCAAATTAATAATGAGGAAACTATAATTTCCTCGCTAATAGGTTCTTTTTTACGACAAAACGGTTCCTCGTAAAACAAAAACTTTTAGGGAGGAAGCCTTAAATTTGTTGCTATTGAAATTGACGGGTTTTGCACATTTTTCCGCCAAACTAATAATGAGGAAACTACTATTTCCTCGCTAATTGGTTTTTTTTGCACATTTTTCCGCCAAACTAATAATGAGGAAACTACTATTTCCTCGCTAATTGGTTTTTTTTTAACAAGGAAACAGTTCCTCGTAAAACAAAAATTTTAGTGAGGAAACCTTTAATTTGCCGTCAATGAATTTGGCGGGAGTTGCAAATTTTTCCGCCAAATTAATAGTGAGGAAACTATAATTTCCTCGCTAATAGGTTCTTTTTAACGAGGAAACGGTTCCTCGTAAAAAAAAAACTTTTAGCGAGGAAGCCTTAAAATTGTCACCATTGAAATTGGCGAGGTTTTTTTTTCCCGTCAAACTAATAATGAGGAAACTATTATTTCTTCCCTAATTGATTCTTTTGATGAGAAAACGGTTCCTCACAGATTATGGATCTTCAGCGAGGAAATCATACTTTGTCGCTGTTACATTTGGCGGCTTTTCCTCTATTTTCCGCCAAATGAATAGCGATGAAATGATTATTTCCTCGTTAAATGTGCATTTCACGATGAAAAAGTTCATCACCAAAATCTCATATTTCCTCGCCAATAAAATAACTAGTTAGGAGACCAAATCATTATCATCTTTAGAGAGGAACTAAAATTTTCATCGTAGAAGGTGGTCTACTGTGAGGAAAATATATTCCTCGTAGAAGACCTACTGATATTTACCGAGGAAACAATATTTTCCTCGTCAAAAGTGATATTTGTTGAGGAAAATAATTTTCTCGTAAAAAAGTTGGTCGCTAAAAGACCTGTCTGTTGTAGTGATAACTCCATTACTTCAACAGTTCAACTACCTGTAAAATTTAGATTCTAAAAAGTTAAAAAATTAGCTTTTAGTTAACTTAATATTGGACATGAAACGGAAAGTCCATTGGTGACAGTAATCACAAATTAGCATGTGACAGTGATATTACAAATTTAACTTCACAAAATCAATCATAATTAACTGAAAAGTTGACAAAATTAACTTGAAGTAATGTTACTAACCTCACCTGTGTCCTTAGTTGTCGGAAACCTCACTGCAATCCTCAGTGACGCACTTGTTTTCTTCTGATCTTAGAAGGCCTCAGTCGATGACGACATGATGAGATGATAAAAATAGGTTCATTGACAAGAAATAGTGTTGGGCGACGGAGGAGGCACTGAAAGCAAGTAGTAGTCGTCTAGCTTCTCCAACATCGTTGACTCCTTGTCTTTGCGGAGCTTCTTGCCATCATCATTGTCTTCTCAGCAGCTTTTTCGGCAGCAGCAACATTGTCGTCGTCGATTTTGTTGCTGACATCATTAGTGGAATTGGGGAGATAGGGTTTAGAAAGGGCAGGGGGAGACAACAATGTCAAACAGAATAAGGGAGCCTTCAAAATCAGAATGATCGCAATTTTTGTGCTTGGGGGTTCTTGCAATTTGACAAACTATGGAGATGTCTCCACGCATCCAAATAAAAAAAAGTGGGGAAGGGGTTTTGTAACGCCTTATAACACATGAGAAAAACGAGTTTCGAAAGACGTTGTAACTCTAAAGTAGCTAAGTTGCATATCATGAACGGTTTTTGTTAGCGTCTCATAATAGCCACTCATCGTTAAGTTCTGTAACATGTTACTTTAATGCACGCATATGATATAGGGCACGGTTACAACTTACAATATACACAGAGTGTAACTAACTTAGATTCACACTTGCAAAAATACATGGTTGACCATCAATATTAATGATCTACACTGTTCATTGTGATCCATGCATTCAAAACTTCCTGGAGACAAAAAATCACATATATTTAATATTTCTACTTTATACATTTCATGGCCTAGAAATGAACATCAGTAACGTTCTCAAGGTGCCAGTTATTTTGAGTTGCTTGAACGATAAGATAGAAAATTTCAAATCGCATGATTTTTGATTCACGTAGATATGATGATATGTAGATAACAATGAAGGGGTTTGGATTTACAATATGTATGGCAAATGTGTATTTTTACAGGTGTGATTAACTAAGTTAGGTACACCCTCTGTAGATTGTAATTTGTAACCCACCCATATGCGTGTGTATATTATATGTATGAGTGAAAATAATGGGTATGGGGTGGTGGCTCATTTTTGCTAAACAAGCTGCTAAGAGATGGACCTACCTTGCTAGTCACATCGGATGGGTGGCTCTCACCAACCTTTATCTCTCGGTAGCTCAAATGAAATGAGCCGCCACCTCATAACCATCAAACCATACATACACCGATACACATTGTAGTATTTATTTGTTGACTTATATCTCTCCTTTTCTATTGTCTTTTCACATTCATCAGCATGGCAGCGAGGGACGCTTGAGTGAGAAATTTGCAAATTCCATACAGCCTATTCTTAGTGATACCATAAGGTGATATCATCCTTTGATTTTGCTTTCCTGTTTTAAATTTTTTTACTTTTCAGCTAAGTGCTTCTAATGTCTGTAGGTATGTACATTTTGATTTCCACCGGATTTGTGGGCATATCCATTTTGAGCGACTCTCCCTTCTTTATGATCAAATTGAGGATTACCTTAAAGAGCATAAGTAAGTCTTCTTTTTTTATTATGTACCTGCCTGGTTATGAAACTTATGACTTAGTGTTATAGAATTTGCTTTTTCAAATGATCTGTTTGTCACGTAATATGGGGTTTCCTGTGAGTGCGCAAGCACGCATGCTGGCAAGCAACTGGTTTATGCTTACCCATGCACATTCCTTGAGCATGTGTTGATTTCTTTATAATTTGTTGTTGAACAATGTTTATACTTTGGAATGTTATGTGATTAAGTGAATAATACTCCTAAATTCATTTAGAAAATTCATGAACCTTATGGACCTAATCGCAAGGAGTGACTATAGTTGTCCATAAAATACTTACTTCTATCGCTCTAACACTACATACAGCTGTTAATATCAAACCAATCACATTCAGTATTTTAAAACGAAGATGGGCACTAATGGAGCTGAGAAGGGGAAAAGATCATCTAGGCTGCTCCTAAATTGGGTCAATGGCTTTCTTCTTCTTTTTCTTGATGTTCATGGAAGATATTTTAATCGAGAAAAGAGATTGCAGGGATATATAACAATTGCATGCACTGATCCATTAGAACTAATGTAGAATATAGTGTATGTTGTATCCCGAGGCGAAGTGTCAGATGTCACAATTGTTCAACACCCTACTTGTGGACCTAGATTTATTTTTCTTTTAGATATACATATATTTCACTCAATAGATGTAGTATCCAGTTATGTCATATTTTAAAGAACTGGTATTTTGGAAAAGCACTTGCTGGTTAGAGGGCCGGGGTGGAACCTAGCTCCTTGAGCCACATGGGCTGTAGTCACCTGCCTGAGATGCATGACTTTCCTAATTTAAGTGGTTTGAGAATTGCACCAAGGTCTGCCTAGACTGCTTTCACTATGCTGGAAGAACCTTTTTTTTTGTTATAATGACATAAAATAGTTAGCTTTGTTAAAGGGGGAAAACATGCTCCATTCTTTTCATAATTTTCAAGTCAATAGCGGTATTCTTGGCGTTGAATTTAGATCGACATGCCTGTTTTGAAGAAGGTTGTGTTGGATCACCTATATATGCGTCTCTGGCTGTTGGACTTTAAGGTCTCTTGGATGATGGATAAATTATCACATAAATCTTTTTGCACTTATGTCAAATGCACCAGAAAAATATCATGGTATTGTAGAGAAATCCTAAAAGAGCAACAGCGGTTAACATAACTTGTTAAATTTCTCAAATATCAAACCCGAAGTGTCTAGCCACTTTATGTGTATGTATGCATAGAAATGACGATCTTACTGGCCAATTCTCTTCAATAATCTTCAAGTTCAAAAGCGCATGATAGTCCATCCTATTAGATTGCGCTCATCATTTGTCATGTTTTTCAAATCTCAAACATATTAGCATGGGAAATTATGTGGTTTTGTTCCTCTTGCTCATGCTTCAGGTGGTTGAAGAGCAATGCTTTTCAGTGAACAAACAACTTATTACTTGACCCATGGGTAAATTACTTCTAATACACATGATTTCTCATTCCTGGACTACAAGGATATCATAGAACAACGGTGTTGACTATACTCTGTGATGAACCGCCACAATTTTTAAACTGCTAGATATTGAAGAGTCCACATGTTTTGATGCATACTTATCATATTGGAACTTGAAATTCATTCTGTTTTGAAATGTTGCAAATTGGATATGTGCACACATGTCATACAAAAAGATGTGCTGGTAAATTTTAATTAATTGGTTGAGTCATACAACTAGATGTGTGTTACTCAATATATATATTTTTACTAAAAGAGATAATTATAGCTGAACATATCGAAGTTAGTAAATAATATCTTATTCTAACAGAGATATTTGACTAAATCCCAAATTCCCAATCGAAACTAAAACATGTGTATTTTTTACTAAAAGAGATAATTATAGCTGAACATATCAAAGTTAGTAAATAATATCTTAATCTAATAGACATATTTGATTAAATCCCAAATTCCCAATCAAAACTAAAACATGTCAATATATTCCTATTTGTATCCACTGTACACTTGTCCACCAACTTTTTTATCCATTAGATTTGCTTTGAGATTTGTGCAAGACATGAAGTGTATCTTCGAGATGTGTGCATTGATTTGCATCATATGCTAGCACAAATCTCAAAGAAAATCTAATGGATAAAAGAGTTGGTGGACAAGTGTTTCTATCCACTCAAGTTTATAGGAGCTTTATATATATATATATACATACAGTTAGGTGATAGCAAGGTATATACCTATTCAAATCAACTGAAACTACCCACTGTTGAAGAAAATTCTCTCTCATAAACTGATGATATTGATACCGAGATCTAGAACCTTCTTTCTGATTGTGTATCTCAATTGCTTCGAAAGGTCAAGAATTTTTCTATTAATCAGAAAAGTTAGCTTGATTTTTAGCTGTTATGGCTGAAGAATTTTGATGCAAGGAAAAGGAACTCCCAAGCTATGACACAGGTTCTACTCAAAAGATCAATCTTATAAGGCGAATAGTACGAAAAGACTCCTAAAGTTCAAGATTTCGTTTAAAGTTTAATCAGTATTTGCATTACTTATCAAATCCTAATGTCTAAATTATGTCTGACAGTCTGTGTAAATACTATTTTGAATGCAGAGGAAGATTCCTATTTTTACTGATTGATAGTTTGTTCTCTGATATTGTGAATTTATTAATACTTTCTAAACTTCATATTTTATTTACATATTGCTCAAATTGTTGTGTTATTCCTATATTTAATCTTTAGATTATAATTGGCCTTTGTTTTTTCTCTGAGTTTTGCAGATACTTTCTGTCAAATGTGGAAGGTGGCAAATCTGAGGAGCAAACTGGTGTTGTGCGAACAAACTGTATTGACTGTTTAGATCGAACAAATGTCACACAGGTGATATGATTTTCTGTTGTAATTTTTTGCATCTATGCTTATTAGTTTGATAAATACTTTCTGACGACTTGGATGTAGCTTGAAGGATTGTTCGTAATACTTGTGCATGTGTGTCTGTGTGTTTGTGTGCGTGCGTGCGTGCGTGTGTGAATCTTGTGTTGCATTATGGTTTTGAAAGTGACCTTGAGTTTGAGCTGGATAAATTGTTACCAACATGTAGGTGTAGCAATTCAGTTACGCAATCAAATGGTTTTCCATCTATCAGAACATATCAGAATTTTCTTTGTTCATTATGATACTTGTTTTTAGCAGTTTGACTTGTGGTACCTGTAGTCATTGCATTAAAAAGGTACATGTAGGAGTCAGCTATGTAATCTAGATTGTAAGATAGCATGTTGTTCAACTTACGTAGTCATCATTTTAATATTTTCTGTTGGTTCATTTCTCCATAGACAGCCACATGAATTATTTACAGAAAGTAATTTGTATAGGCATAGGGGTGGAAACGAACCAAATAATTAACAAATAGTTCGTTAATTGTTTGAGTAACTATTTAGTCATATTCGATTCGGTAGTTCATTTAACACTAAACAAATAATATTTAGTATTCGAGTTCATTAATGAATAGAATTTAACTAGATGCATATTTGATTCATTTGCTTATTAAATATTCGTTTAAATTTTGATGGCTTATAATTTGTATTATTACGCATATGATGTTATATTTTCAACCCACTTATATTTTCTACTTAAGTTCTATATACAATTTCGAGAGACTTAAAAGAATCTTAAATCATAACTACAAAGAAATAATTTTCATTTGTAATTTAAATGCTATTTAAAAATTAGATTCTTTAGCAGAATTAATATACTTTGACATTCAATAAATATTCGTGAGTATTAATGAATATTTTGTCAAATACATAGTATTTGAGTTCGAATTTGAAAAGCTCTAGATGTGAATATTCGAGTTCGGCTTCGAATTTGATAATTTTAAACAAATACAAATACAAACATCTTAGTATTTGATTCAATTCGTTCATTTACCACCCCTAACTGTCGATGTCACAAGCATTCTCCAATCTGTTCTTATTCTTAACCTTACTGTCCCTTTTCCTACACTCTTATGTTGAGGTGCGGGTATCTTTTCATCTGCTTAAACCCCAAGCTGTTGGACATTGTTATCTGAAACTGGGATATTAGCTGCATATTATTTCCTTTTTTTATTTCATTGGTCTGCTTCAAATATGCATCTATGTGGGCTTTCATGTGAGTGGGTCTAACACCATCGTAATGTCTCTACAACTGTATCAAAGCTCCAAAGTTTCAAAGTTTGGGTGACAATCAAGGCATATAATTTAGTCCTCTAGTGTTATTATGTCAATGCTTGTTAGCTTTTACTTGTCCTTTTTTCCTTAGAACAACAAAGCTCTTGTTGGGTCTAAACTTCCCTATATATGACTGTTGCTGTATATCTGAATATGAAGTTATTAGGTTCATCTTGGTTGTGATGGGTCATAAAAAGGTGAACCTAAATGCTTTTGAAGTCATATATATAGTTGGATGTCATTGCCAGTTCCACCTCCCCTATAACTGATATGCTTAGATGATGAACCTCCATCGTCATGTAATTACAAGTTTTGACAATGCATCAAATGATCGAAGTAACCATGAATCAAAGCACGCATATGCATGTGTTCGCATAAGTGTGTGAGCACGCTTATAAACACATACATACATTTTGTGTGTGCGTGCCGGCGTGCGTGCGTGCGGTGTGTGTTTTGGTTTCTCATAAAAAGGTGAACCTAAATGCTTTTGAAGTCATATATATAGTTGGATGTCATTGCCAGTTCCACCTCCCCTATAACTGATATGCTTAGATGATGAACCTCCATCGTCATGTAATTACAAGTTTTAACAATGCATCAAATGATCAAAGTAACCATGAATCAAAGCACGCATATGCATGTGTTCGCATAAGTGTGTGAGCACGCTTATAAACACATACATACATTTTGTGTGTGCGTGCCGGCGTGCGTGCGTGCGGTGTGTGTTTTGGTTTCTCATAATATGTATATGCAGGAAAGCAGTTAACTTCTTTTGCACCTGCTATTCTTTTAACCTCTGACATGTCCCCATTTTCCATTACTTAACATAGTTCTCTTTCACAAAACAAGCTTCTGTTTTGCGGAGGTAGCTCAAATGGCAGGGGGAAAAATCTTCTGTTTGTTAACGTCCTGTTATTGGCACTATTATATTGTCATAAACTATTCTTTATGGTCCTAAATAAGAATACTGTTTTTAATTACGGTTTTATGTTGTAATTCGCACCCTTCAGAGCATGATTGGGAGGAAAATATTGGAAAGCCAACTAAAGCGAATAGGAGCATTTAATGAGAATGACTCCATCAGCGCCTATCCACATTTCGACAAAAGTTTTAAGATTTGTAAGTGCTTTTATTGTTATAGAAATGTACTTTGGAGTAAATTTTATTGTTATAGAATGACTCCATCAGCGCCTATCCACATTTTGACAAAAGTTTTAAGATTTGTAAGTGCTTTTATTGTTATAGAAATGTACTTTGGAGTAAATTTTATTGCCAAGATCTTTTTTCAATTTAATATTTGGCAGCCTCATGTCATAACAATATAAATTGTAAATACCATTTCAGTATGGGCTAATCACGGAGATGAAATAAGCATCCAATACTCAGGAACTCCAGCTTTAAAAGGAGATTTTGTTAGGTAAAATTCGGAAGCTTCTTTTCAATTTAAGAACATTGTTCCTAGAATTTATTAAATTTCTCCTTCAAACATAGTGACGGTATTCTACTAATGTTAACGTCCTAGTTTTTTTTCTTATGCATTCATTATATTTTTGTTCTTTTCATTACCATCGTGCTATGAGGTCAGAGAGGCACTGCCTGTATGCCGGTGGAGATGCCATGAAATCTTTGACTACCAAATCACCAAACCATATTGTCTACGTAGGCATATTAGACTTTCTGATTAACTGTTACTGCTTATAGATGAAGAAATAACATACAAGGTGTGTGTTATCTTTCTACCTGCTATTTGACAATAACTGCAGTTGGCTTGAGGTTTTCTCAATTAGTTTTTATTTTATTTTATTTTTTTGTGAGTGTTGATCCTGATTGTGTGGTCTTTGTATTTGACATTCAATTGGCCATTTTTTAAAAAAAAATTCTTTTGGATTATTTTTATTTAGCATGTCCTCTCTCTATGTTCACTGTATTGTAAGAGCGAGATAAACTTGGAAAGGGATTGGCCAGAGTAATTTGCATTTGCTGGACCGTGGTATGGTGAAGCACAACTGTCAGTAGCAAATCACTAGATAAAAGACGCAATGCCAACTTGGATGGCATGGACATCTATGTTGTGCTCAACAATGTGGTTTACTTTGGGTGTTATGTGGTTGTAGCTTGTCGACAGCAACTGTATGGTAACATATGCTGGTTGACGGTCTGATAATCATGACACATTCTTGACATCCAAGATTTAATCACCTAAACAGATGAGAATGTTTAACATGAGATTTAGTGTTGTATTAGAGACCTCCAAATTAAATTTATCTTCTTCATGTTGAATATAGATAACCAAAAACATTAAGTATTCCAGGAGAATTTGGGTTTAACAATTGCATGATGTACAAAGTTTATTACAAGTCAATATTTTATAGCAGTTTCCACTATACCGTGGTGTATAAATGAAGATGTCTCGTGTATGTAATATAAATAAAGAAGCATATGTGAAGTGTAGCATATTTGTCCATGAAGTGGATGTCATTGTTTTAAATTAAAATGTGTATTATATAATTGAGGAGACGTCTGAAATAAGTGTATGCACATATCCAAGGATTGTCCAAGGGAGTCAGTGTCTGGTACAGGTGTCGGGTATGAGGCATTTCACGATGTAAACATCCCTGCTACATAGCTGGTTGATATGTGAGATTAAGATCATGTTAAGCATCCTATTTGTGTCCTTGTACATGTAAGACCATTAACTTTAAGATTTATTTATGTCTCCTTCTTAGCAAGTTTCAGTAAAAATGTGGTATGGTTTGAAATTGACAAGTTACCTTACTGTTCCATTCTAAATATCTTAAATAAGAGGAAAAGCGAGAAGTGGTATCTGACAGAATGTTTCCGTTTCAAGTTTTCCTAAAAGTTGACATCATCCTTCCACAATTAGCTATTTAACTATAACAGTCTTCGGGTACATTAGTAAATCCACATAGTTATAAACTTTTCTCCAGGTTTGTTTCTTGAATATGATTTATACATATAGCAGTCTAAATTGTATCATGGACATCTATGTTGTGCTCCACATTAGTTTCTTGAATATAACTTACACATAGCAGTTTAGATTGTATCATGTACCTGAAATATTATTATTTGATAATCTAATGTTTTCTCCAGGTGCGGAAACCGAACAGTCCAAGGTATTCTGAAGGATGGATGGAATGCACTTGCTCGTTATTACTTAAACAACTTTGTTGACGGGACAAAACAGGTCTGTGAATTGTTTTAATTTTTTGTGTGAAGCGGGGCTTGCCTTTTCACTTCTGGTATTTAAATACAGATAGCATATCATGCCAACGTTAGCATGAAACTATGCTATAATCCTTGCTTTAGACATATTCCATGATTTGTATTATATATTACCTTTCTTCTTCTCTTCTTCAGAAAGTACAGTTTCCGTAAGCTGTATGTTGACCCTATAAAATCCAGTAGGTGGGTTAGTTTTTATTTATTCCTTATGCAGGTTATGGTCACGAACCAAGCAATAACATTCAAAATTTTCTTAGACTAAGAAAGACTCTAGAAGGAGAAGATGATAAGTTCTGTTAGAGGGAACATTCTCATCTCCATGACATGGCATGACGTGAAAAAGTTAATTGAAATTGCAGTACTATTCACAGTTATAAATATGTTGTTCTATATATGGTGCGTATACGCGCGTACGTGTGCATGCATGTGTCTAATGACACAAACAAATGGTAAGGTGAAAGCTTATCATAAGATTGCCCAATTGACTACTCAAATAGATGATCAACACTGACAATTGAGAATTGTTTGGTCTCTTCAAATCATGGATCGGACTATCTCAATGTAAGTAACCTTTGGTTACCTTAGAGCCCATCTTTTATGTGAATGCTTGACACATTCAGATCAGCATTTGTTTGTCTAGAAAGTATTTTCTTTTTATCTATAGTCCAACAATGAACCATTTTTAAATCTTACATGCATATTTTCCTTGGAAAATAATATCTTGGTTAAATCAACTTTTAGAACTGTAAACCTCAAATTGACTCCTGCATTAATTTTTATAAGCTCATATCAGCTACAGTAATCATTAACTGTATTAGTGTTATCAGTTAGTTTTCGCTGGATCGGATAGGCATGCTCAAACTCCATATAACTGGCCAACATTTCAAACCGTGATATCAATAATATGTTGTAGTAGTTGTTTAATCTTATTTTATTGAACTTTTGCATAACAAATTTAGTTGATTTCTCAATCCATATTTGGCTACATACCTATTTGCGTAAATATGACCAAAATGTCAATGAGTCTCTTTATCAGAGTTTTGAAGGTTTATGTCGGACACAGGAGGACACTAGACACCTTTTGTCCATGTAACATTAATCATGTGTGCTAATTTTCAACCAATTCAGATTTGTATGGCTTTTAAATTAGGAAAGAGAGAAAGGATTGATAGAAAAAATCTGTTTGGGCTCCATATTTTTAAATAATAAATAACAGAAATCAGGCTGTAAAATGTGTATGTGCGTGCCTGTTGTCTTGTGCTTTCCTTGGGTTGTGGGAGTAGGCTTGCAGGTCTGTTATACTTAGGGTTAACTTTTGGTGGACTCCGCTAGCTATGATGAGATTAACTACCCCAGTTTTTTTTTTATTTTTTGTAAATTGTTCATTAATAGAGGTTGTTTTTCAGGCTGGAGTTTGATTCCTTAATATGAAATGGCGAAGATTTGCAAGCTGACATTGTTTTCAGTTAAAGATAAAACTGAGGTTACCTATTTCATCAAATCTTTGTTGTTTCAAAATTTATATAACTAAATCTAAAATTAAAGAATTTTTGATTGTGTCTTAGACTCTTAGTTCTTATCCTCTGTGCACTCTAGAAGGGAACTATGACAGATGTTCATGAAAATTTTCTCATGGTGTTAAGTACTAATTACTGTACAGTGTCGGTATTAACAAGAAAATAACCAAATATAAATCTGAACATGCAAAATGACGGGAATGAAAATGCTAATGCATTTTTTTATCTTCCTCTAGGTTGTTTTCTGAAGATTACTATCCCCCTCTTTTTTTATCTGTCATTTCTTTTTTTCATCATTTCATGTTTTTGTTGAAGTTTTATCATTGTGGGACTTGTTAAGCTTGTTCAAATGTCAGAATCTGATTTATTAATGTTCATATTTTCATAAGTTTCTCTGTTATCATTCTATTTGATTTATAAATATCTATATTTTCAGTTTCGTCATTTGCTAGTTGAATATGAAGCCTATATCCCTCCTAATAAAAAAATTTTATTGCTGCATGGGTTTTCAGGATGCTATTGATCTGCTACAAGGGCATTACATTGTATCCGTTAGTCGAGATATGACTCTCCCAGCCCAACCAGGAGGTTTAGAGGCTTATGCTGTAAGTATACGGTACACTATTTGTTATTTAATTAGTCATTTATCAATGCTGAGAAGGATGATATTGCTTTTGTTTCTTAACTGATATAGACCCCCGATGCACTTGAAGTTTATCTGTATTTCTCTTTTCCAGATTATGATATAAGGGAACTGCTTTTATACTTTGTCTATATGAATTGTTAGCTATGAGTTGCAAGTACTGGGTGTAGTTAATCAATGTATGAGTGATTTCATGCGACAAATAGTTATTACGATGCAGGAGGTGTTTTGTTGTCTTGTATAGATTGCTATGATCATGATGACAAATGACATAGGAATTATCACTTGCTGTTTTAAAGGCAAGTTTTTAATTCTTTAAGCCTGAGCACTATTCTTACTTGAAATTATTTAGTTTTTAGATCTGGAAATGTTCTAATAAAGTTTGGAATGACTTGATAATAGTTCTGAACCTGACATGGGCTCTGTTAATCAGTACAAACTGTCGACGGTAACTTTGAGTTGAATGTAATTTAGGGTACAAACTTAGTTCTTTGAGCTGTTAACATAGATCACGACCTCATAATAACCTTTTCTAAATCGTCATAAGTTGGAGGCAGCATCTTTCAGCAAAAAGAAGGACCATGTAGGCATGCATTATTCCCTTTTCCCCCCATATTCTCTCTCTGTTAATTAGATTTCTAAGTCAAAGCAGTATGATAGTTAATCATGTGGACATGTTTTGTTAAAATTCTGCATGTTATTGGAACGATAATCATGCGTAGACTATCTGGTTACTTTACGGGCCGTATATAAGCAAGCATAACATTCCATCTTTTTAGGGCTTAACATGGCGAACAAACTCTAAATCTTACTTGATATTGCCTTTCAATTTAAATTTGACAGAATCTGGGAGGGTTACTCCCCACGATTCTAAAGATAGTCTATTTTCCATATTTCTTCTTTTATTTATCTTTCTATTTATCTTAAATACGTATTACATTCTTATGTATGTACCTTAAATACGTATTACATTCTTATGTATGTACGCTTGTGTGGATGCTTGTGCTTTTAATCTGATATTGACAGTATTTTTATTTTTTTATTTTTTTGTCTACAGTCTATGAAGTTGGCTTCAGCACTTGTGTTGGGTGGCTTTCTTTTTGCAATAATGTCGTTGAGACAAGGTAAGTCACCAGCAATAAGCCAATTATTATACAGAAGGAACTAACATACTCTGAACCATTAATCGTTTCCATTCAAGCCATCAAAGATGATGACTCAGTTTCATTAGCTCTATTAAAAAAACATTAAAACCAAAATAGTCGGTGTAAATTGGTGATGGTATCCATCTCAGGTATCAAGATTGTTGGGCCATCTTTGCAAATATTTCCTGTGTACATATTATATTTCAGATCATTTTCCCCTTGTATAAAATATAAAACTACCTACATGTATGTATGAGGTGGCCGAGCCTTTCTTTCCGCCGAGACAGAAGTAGCTGAGGAACAACTTGTAATTGAACCTACGTAAAGGATTCAAGAGAAAGTGTCCTTTCTGGTAATTAAATCATCAAATTAGGAAATAAAGATGCAAATCCTGATATTACAGCCTGAAGGTCATAAACAGATGAAGTAAACTTGGATAGAAAAGAAGCTACATCACTTCTTAAAGAATTGAGAACTTTTTATATGTTGGTCATAATTAATATAAACGTGACAAAATGGTTTTATCTACTCTACTGTAAGTCCTTAGAGTGGGATTATTGATAAATTAGAAGATGAATTTGTTTTTGCATATATACCCATCAAATCTTCCATATTTTAAAATTACCTGCCAAATTTGGTATTTGCAAAATCTCTTGCCAATTCTCTTAAATTGATTTTTTCTACACCTTTCACTCGCCAATTTTAGTTTTTAAACCAGAAATTGTTGCAAACGTATTGGAAATTATTGGAAATTTTGACATTCTTAAGTTGGGGTAGTAGAAAGACCCAATATGCTAGTTTTGAGGGGCAATTTTGCAAATACCAAAATTTGAGGGGCATTTTTGCAAATATTGAAGATTCAGGGGTATATATGCAAAAACACCTAACTTTTGCTGGTAAGGCCTAAATAATAAAAGTGAATGGACCGATCGTACCTTACGCCAACAGTTGCATGCTTTGATTTGGTTTTATTATTTAGGAACTGAATTTGTTTATGGTTCACAACAAAATTGTTTTGTATCATGTCTCAGAATTGTAATCAATTCCTATATCAACCCTCTAACATCAACCGTTGCTCTTGCAGCTAGACACGATCTTCTCCATCTATTTCTTTCTCTGATCTGGGCTGGCCTCAGTTTGGGAATAGCAGCATTTGTGAAAGCCAATGGGAAGAAGTTCACCAATCGACCACGTCTTTTCAAATCACGCCACTAAAAAGATAATCTGAAAGAACCAGTAAGTGGCTACCATTTGCAATCAAATGGATCGTTACGCAATTGGATAGTTGTTGGTATAAACCTGTCAGATTAATTTATTATATTTAAGCATTCATTTGTTCATAAGGTTATTATTTCACATTCAATTGGATTTTGAGTTGTTTATCTTCCACAGAAATAATTTTAAAGAAATAACTCCTTGTCTGTCATATGTTCTGTTTGCTCCTGGTTCAGTTTCTAATTGATGAAGGAAGCCTTTTACTTGTTCTATTGGACCTGTATGTGGACGATGAGGTCTTGAAAAAGACTGGTCACGAATCATTGGTTGCTGTTTTGTTTATTGCATGCCAGTAGCTTTGACACCGTAAACCTTTAATTAGCAACAAACAGAAAGAGAGCCTTTTTCGGCTTGCCCACTACACTCATTTGTATACCAGACCTGTACTTTTCTGCACACGTACTTGTGATTTACCCGAAAGGTTCCCTCTGTATAATATTGATTACCAGTACTAAGGCCACACGACGACACTATTTCTTACGATAAATAAGATTGAGTTGGATGTCAAATGCAATGATGATGCAATTAGGAGCTGAATAAGAATAAGAATACTGTACACAAGATGATGTAGATGCGACCGCTTAATGCCAATTTCGGAGTTGGATGGCTTGTTGTACATGAGCTAGTGGCCTCTGCTTCGGAAACACGACGAGCTTCTGGTGATAGTGATACCTTCTTTCATTGTCTAGTTGATTCATACCACTGTAGGTGCAGATAAAAATTAGATTAGCAGAACATTGGTGTTGGGCTGTACTTTCTTTCTGTGGGACGGTATTATCTTCTTGTGTGCTCATGATATAATCCTGTGCAAGTTTGTAAAACAACAAGGAATTTATAATCAATTGCAGAGGTTATTGGAGTTATTTTCTTTTCCTGCTTTTTCTTTGTCGATGTATGCACACTATTTTCAGAGGTCTACATGTAGCTTCTCTCTTTTTACCTAAGAAAATGCTCTGCTTGGTTGACAGAATAAACATGAGGACTCCACTTATAATTGTTTTTTTTTACCCCCTTGGGATTCCTTGTGGGGGTTAAGCTACAATGACAAGCATCTGAAACATGGTGATGTTGGTTATCATGCGGATTAGACCAGGCTGCTGCTGTTGCAAATATATTCCTTTGTTGCTGCCCATGAGAATTGTTTATTTCTACTCGACAAGAGTCCTACCCCTCTTCTTTCCTTCCGCGTTCCCACTTTTGTTTCGGACAAGGTCACGAGGATTCTTTTTTTTTCCTGAGTGCTTTTCCTTGTTTTTCTAGTGCCACCCTGCTCAGATTGCCTCTTTTCACGTCTCAAGGGCTTCTTTGTATTTTATTAGTTTCTTAATCGTCTGAACTGATTATTTGGCGCCTATAATTTTGCCAGTGGTCCTTCTCAAACTGTTTCTTTTTTCCGCTGTCTGTCCCTTACATTATGCAGTTCCTTAAAACACGTAAGACCATGTTTGGCAAAGGGTCGAAGTGGAAGTGGCTTTTAAACGTATAACGTAACATGTCACCAGCTTCTCATACCCAACCCAATATGCGACTCAAATAACATGTAGCATGAAGCTTTTATTTCTTTTTCTAACACCCCTATTTGCAAAAGTAATTTGCAACTATCAATTAAACATCCGATAACTAGAATCATGTGAGCTTTCTTGGCTTTTTAATCTTATAACCCAATGAGGGGAGCATGTTTAACGAATCATCACTCAAATCCGTGACAATGATTTTAGATTCTCGCTCGTGTGGGTCCGCACGAGCGAACTGGTCGAGTCCGAGTCATCTCACTAATTGCGTGCGTCGGGAATGTACTTAATAATAATCTCTCCTAACATATAATTAATTTGGCATAATAATATTTAAACTGCTCGCGTCATGAACTCTTGTTATTAATTTCTAATGACAATAATTAATTGGTGCCTTGTACTGAAAGGTCTGGAGTGATTCTGTGTTTATTTCTTTATTGTAAAAACAAATGAGAAATTTTGATGCCCCTTGGTGCCTTGATGGGTAATCAGTGTAGTTCCCGGTTAGCTGCATTGTTAGAGATCGTGTCTTAACACTAATTAAGAGGGACCCACTTATGTGATTGTTTAATATAATATTTTTTTAAATAAAGCATATTATGATAATACTATACTAGATAATAGTTTTATAGTGAAACTAATGAACTCAATGTAACAAGATGCACCCATGGCGAATATTTGACTGATAACAATGAATACATTTGCTCAAAAATAAATTACGATAGAACATATCCATCTTTGGAGTCTAGACCATCCTTCCTTTTTATTTTTATTTTTTTCATTTTTTTTGGGAAGTTTAGACCATCTTAAAGCTTGCTGCGTATTCAACAAGCCAATTTTCATGATAAGCCAAGTAATTCGCTGGTCATTATCAACTTTCAGCATTAGTAATTTTTAGTGTTACCATGTTTTGAGTTTTAAAAAAAACTATTTTCAAAACTATTGTGATTAAGAGATGCAGTTTCACACCTTAATTTTATGTCTTTCCAAATACCGAAGAGCCGTGGCTTTATAAGACATGCAATTCAACTCATTTCACATCTTTAATATGTTAGATTAATCAAACTCACTCGCTATGAGAATCTTCTGCATATATAATCATTACTATACATAAATTTGAAATAATAAAGTCCTAAGATCCAACTTGTTTGCTTTAACCATTACCCTTAAAATATTTCAATTAGAGGTTATTCTATATTACTTTGGACTTTCATTTATTCTTGTAGTTCTGACCAAAACTATTGCAGATTAATGAATGCTAATGTTAATTAATCAAGGTCGATTCCCTCAATTTCCATGTTCTTTAAACCTCTTTGGTCCCCATCAACCCACTTCCAATAAATTAATTGCATCGTATTAACTTAAGAAATTCTCCTTGGTATTTTCATTGAGCTTTAGTATATATATATATATATATATATTTTTTTTGGGTGAAGGAGTGGCCCTGGCTGTGGAAAATTATTCCACACATGTTTGGCTCCATTTTCCTAGTCACCGGTTGGTTACATATACATCTCTATTTCAGTGAAGAAATAAGATCTAAAGATGCCATCTTACCTAACCAATTAAGTTCTAGCAACTTAAAATGATTTTGCAGTTCTTATTTGTGCTCGATCAGGAATAGGATTCGTCGCGGTCGACCGGATGTTGGTGCGGCGGTCGACCGGAGTCGGGTTTTGACCCATATTCGAATTATGACCTGTTTTGTTCTGATTCCTTTTTTATTGGTTAAACCCTTAAGTCTATAAAAGGGTTGATTAGGGCATGATGTATAGAGACGAAAAAATAGTGAATTTTTCTCCTGCGGCGGCCGTGGACGTAGTTTCTCACATTGAGAAGCGAACCACGTAAATCTTGTGTGTTTGAGATTGTTTGATTTTCTCTCTTCTCTCCTAAATCTCTATTTCCAAATCGCATCAGGGGGGTTGTGCATCCCCAACAGGGGGGGTAATTCTTGGTTGGTAAAGCTGTGGGTTGCAGCTTTATCCCCTTTTAGAAAATTAACAGTAAGGCCTTGTTTCCTATGCGTTAATGGGTGGTAATGGACCGGGTAGTCTCACTTCTAATTCATGTCTATCAAATGCACCATCCTTTTAGAAGTTAGAACGTTTATTCTCACTTCTCCTTCATTCCTACTTTTTGTGATAATGAACATTCCCAATGAATTTGTTGGGTCTTTTTGTTTTGATGATGATTAACAAACAATTTATAACTAATTTTGTTTGTCTAGTGTTTGTGTTTTGTATTTATTCTAGGCAAATAACATGTTGGGGGATGGATGGAATCGAGCATTCACGATCATATCCAATGGAGGTTGGCGGAGGTATGAAGCAATGCAATTCAAGTTAAAGATCCAAGTTCAAGCTTCATCAGTAAGTTTACCAAGATAGAGCTTCATTGAAGATCACAAGATTGAGTATATTTAGTTTAGGTTTTTATATTATGTGCGTTAGTACTTTAAGCTCAATCATACACGCACATACACGTTTTGGTTTTTATATATATATATAGTTATATATATACATGTTTTGGTTTTATAGTTTTCAAGTTTATACAAAAATAAATTTATGAAAATATTGAATTATTTATTTATGGACTTTATAACAATATTTTATATCAATTCATTAAGTCTATAAAATTATTTTACAAAAGTTTTAATATTGTGTTTATATCAAATGACAAAAAACATGTATGTTTAGTTTTCATGTTTTTGGACATATTTGAAAAATGATGAGTTTTCACTATTAAGAAGTACAATTCCAAAAGTTCTTTTTGTAACATGTTCATTTACATGTTTACAATGATTTTATAAAGTTTTACATTTTTAAAAATTTATTTGCTATTTTTAAAGGCGCTTTAAAAATCAGTTTTACTATTCAAATCAGGCTGATACAGTGTTATCAGTCGACTGATGAATGTTATCAGTCGACTGATGAATGTGTTCAGTCGACTGAAGAAAGTGCATGGAATAACAAAAAGTTTCTGTTTTATTTTGGTCGACTGACCAGTCAACTGATGAGGTCATCAGTCGACTGATAAGGTCCGTCAGACGATTGATGCTGTAACGGCTAAATTTTTTTTCTGATGAGGTCATCAGTCGACTGATAAGGTCCGTCAGACGATTGATGCTGTAACGGCTAGTTTTTTTAGCCTTTTACGGATTTAGGTTTTTGGTCTTGTTTTCTCTTGGTTTTGGGGTTCCTATAAATATCCCCACATATCCTCAGTTCTAATGCCTGAAGAAAAAAAGTTTTACAAGGGTTTAAAAGTGTGTTTAGTTTGTTTAAAGGTGTTTAAGCCTTGTTTAAGAGTTTTGTTTGTGAAGAGAATTTCACAAGAGCAAGTGAAGATCATCCTTGGTGTTTGAACAATCACTCTTCTCCCCCTCTCTTGTCATCTATAGAGAAGTTTTCTTAAACTCAATTCTAGCTATTTATTATTTTGATTCTAATTTCCATAAGCTAGATTTTAATATTGAGTTTAATTGTTTATTGATACTCTTTGTTCACACACAACCTATTGAGCTTATTGTATTTGCATTCATAGTATAATTTGGGGTTGTGGGTTTGTAACATTGAGAGTGAGTTTAATTGTGTTCTCATCTATTGTAGAGAACAAATTTATATTTATGAGCTTCATT